AAAATCGAATGTAGGGGATGAATTTACATAGGAAACTGGACCCTTGTAAAATTTTCATTGATTCATTTGTTTTTACGGTTTATCAACCTTTTGCAGGTTATTTTAAGCCAGAAGATTTTCTCTTTAAACTGTCAGAAATTTTTGGAGATATTAATGGTTTAGTGATACAAGTCTTACTAATTAACTCATAGCTGGGGAGAAGAAGGGTTAGCTTCATACTTTTCCCAAGGGTATTTTTTGCGTAAGTGAATATAACGAACCCAACGGGAATTGGAACTCAACTCTCCGATTAATAATTCCGAGCTGTTATCCATTACACCACCCACACATCCAAGATTATAGCACCTGGGATAACCATGCGGTCAACCATCTAGGTACTGACGAGTCTCGACGTTGCTTAACTTTGGTGATCCTACAGTAGAATGTATGGTAATATTAAATAAATTGAAAAAAGTGATTATTTTTCATTGCAGTGTCTGTTGTAGACCTCCACTAAGAGGATTATTATTTTGTTATAGTTATAATGACATTACACGGGCGGCCATTTCTATGCATTACAGTGGCGGCCATAATATAAGGAACGGAAACAACAAAGACATAAATGTGTATTACTTAAAAAGTAATGCATGATTAGCAATGACATTTTTACCGAATAAAGATTAGGGTGTAATGCATAAATGTTATACAAAGTTACAAAAATTTACATAATAGTTTCCGTTCCTTATATTATGGCCGCTACTCTCTCTCTCTCTCTATATATATATATTATGCCTTTAAATTCCTTGAGGAACACAAGACCGCAAGATATCGTTACGGTTTCTATAACAAGCGAGTATTTTTAAGTGAGTAGGTTGTTAGGCTACTGCACCCACCCAAAACCTGGAGGATCAGGTTTTGAATTCAGAGTTGTCCTTCTTCTAGACCAGTTGCCACCTAAGGCTATAGAATACAGTCTGTCCTGCTATTTACCCATAGCTAGGATGGGGAGAAGAAGGGTATTAGCATAATAAGTGAATGCAATGGATTCGACTGGAATTCGAACTCTGCTCTCTGTTTCTCACTCAGAGTCGCTATCAATTACTTCAGCGTGCCTCCACATTTCTATGCATTAGCTCACCTTTAAGACAAAGTTTTTTTTCCTTTAAAGGTAACCAGGTCCCTTAAAAGTCTTTCTAGAAGTATTTGGTGGCTTCTCCGCAAATATTTCTGATCCTTTTAACTGTCTTACACAGCAGCAATATGTGCAGTTAGAATATTAATGTTTCAACCATGACACCCGGGTTCGAATCTCAGTATGGTCAATTTGTCAAGGAATTGACTTTTTGATACTGTCTTCCCCGGGAGACGATCCTATCATTTTATCTCGTAAGTCATTGTTATTGCAGTGAGATTTTTTTAAAATTTTTTATTAAAACTTCACCAAAGACAAGGCTCGAGAACCAATCCAGATTTAGGGTTAGTGAATGAGTTTGTTGTATGAATGTAAGAGGAGGAAGTAAGTGAAGATTATATAGGGTAGATAACTGCTGACTTGAAAGGGGGTAAGGTTGTAGTAATCAGGGAAGCATCCTCTCGGGAGTCTGTTCCACGTTATCAATGGAATACGAAGAAAATGAAAATTATTCCACCATGTGTACGTGGCATGGTGGGTCCTAGTTGCTTCTTACTGGGTACCACATAATTGTGTCCTTGAGCCTGACAAAGCCAAGTTTAGTAAACGAAACCTAAGAAAATAATTTGTGCACTCTAAGCCAAAAGTATACTCTTAGCCTCGGGATTTAATAATCAGTAAGGTTCATGCCTTTTTTGGCTTAATTCCTACTAAGCCAGGATGCTGAAATTATTTAATCCATTAGCTTATGGCGTTCAAATCCTTTAGAGAGGGAAGTAGCTAAAATTTAAAATCCGCCAGCCCTAACATTACCATTAGGCAGCAAGCTACATTCGACAAAAAAGATAAAATTTTAAGTAAACTTTATGCAATAATGGGTTAATTTTGTTGTTGTCATTATTATTATTATTATTGAATATGTGGAAAAACCCTTTAGGAAGAGAAAGTCCCTATGACCTGAATTGAAGTAGTAAATTAGTTTTGAAAAAAAAATGGAACCCTCAGTATTAGGGGATTTTTCGATATTCAAAGGATGTTTCTAAACATTTGGCCTATATTGTACATTTTGAGGATTTTTATAAATTCCAGCTTTACTGACAAGTAAAACCCTTAAAAAGTAATTCTGAAATGGCGTCTGTTGGAGACACGCTGATATCTCGTCCGCCAGACTTATTCTCGGCACCTCAGCAAAAGCCGCAAATGGCGTCTGTTGTTGGCTCAGTTACAAGGAAAACACTCGCAGCTGTAATCTTGTGTCAGAAACTGAAGTCACAAACGGCCGAAGGTCTTATTTTTTTTTTACTTTGTATAACTTTCTTTGGATCTATCGGCCAAAATAAAATGGCGGCGATTATATCAGCTTGAAAAAACGTTTATCTTTCTTTTGACCGGTTTTTCTTGTTTTTTGTTATTTTTATTTGCAAATGCCGTCCAGCGTAAAATATAGGCAAACGAATTTCTTACAAGCCAGCACAACCAGAGATGTTTTTCTAAAACAACACATTCTCATCCTTATATATATATATATATATATATATATATATATATATATATATATATATGTGTGTGTGTCTGTGTCTGTGTCTCTGTGTGTGTGTGTCTGTGTGTGTGTCTGTGTGTAATGCCTGTCTGAAAATGAACCTGTTATTTAATATTAAAGTTAAATAGCTGACCTATGCCAAAATCGCCTCAATCTACTGGGATCTGAAGCATTTATTCCTTAGTCCTTTTGTCTGAAAATGAGCCACTTATATAATATGAATGAAATCTAATGTGCCTTGGTCAGTATCAAGATATGGGACCGCATACATTTATCTTTCCCTGTCTAAAACAGTCTGCTAAGTCTTTATGGTTCACAATCAGATGCCTGATTGTGTTCTTTTTTTATATTAATGTTCACCCAATTCAAGGCCCAAGATCCACTCAAGGTAGATGGTTACTGTGTGGCGTTGTATGAACGTAGAAATGGGTTATGCAGGAAAGATAATGGTTAACCACAGACTTGAAGATTTCCAGATTGTAGTGATTAGGCAAACATCCTGCCGGGAGTCTGTTCCACAAAGCAACAGTTCAAGGGAAGTAACTCTCCGAGTGGAACTTATTCCTTTCCAATTGAATGCTAATGATTCACACTTATGTTCTTAAAATTGTTTACGATATGTAATCTCTTTTTTTAATCGCGAATTCAACTTTAGGAAAAGCCAGAAATTGCAGGATGTCAAACTTTGAGTGTAGCGATACCAACATGCTTAGATTCACGAGCCATAAAGAATGGGCAGTTGATCGTTTAGTTTTGTTTTGTTTTACGGTATATCAACCTCAATGGGTTATATAATGCCGACAAGATTTTAATTACTGGTAATTTTTTTGTCAAAAATGTATTGCTGGTATTAAAACCTATTTTTACACTTTCATAGTGTTTTGATCCCAGTTTGATGGTTAAATTTTTACCCATAGATGGGACCCTAACATGGGCTACCACCTCTGATCAGGGTGAACCTGGGAATACCAGCAATTAAGAGGTGGTTCAACGCTCCTCAAAACTTGCTGCCGGATGTAGTTTATCGTCATACCCAGGACGCCTTATTGTCGGGTTGGGTGTTCTTATCCCCTGCAGAGGCGCGATCGGCGTATTCTGAGGCCTCAGGCCACAGGGCATATGGGCAGTTGAGACATTCAAAACGTTTTTTCCAATTCTTTTCGAGTCCATCATTTTAACGTTCTTGGGGGTTTTGATCTTGTTAAAGACCGCGCCTTCTATAAAGTGGGCGGCTTTTAACGACTTCCCAAGAAAAGTGTGTAGCAAAGTTTTATCCGGAATTTCCTCTTTGGATCATCCCCGGAAATCTTCTTAATCATCCGAATCGTTTGGATTAAACAAAACTTGATGCCTATTCACCACAACGGTCACACAATACGCAAGCTCGCTCAATGGTCCTTCAATGTTGTGGGGGAAGAACATTTTTTTATGTACACTATTTACATTATTCGGACTATTGTCCTCATCTTTGTTGCCATATTTATTACAACGTTTCGGCCTTCTTCAGGTGGTTGGAATGTCGGACTGAACCATGCCATGTTTAATGTAGTCAGTTATCAGTTATCTCCTGCTAATTCCCCTCTCCAGATTCTCCGCTGCCTTAACTGGATATTGAACTCATATACTGTCACTGGATCTAACCAACGCCTTTATCCACTGTGCCATGTGTCCTTGAGGACACCTGTGTATGAATGTCTGGGTGTTATAAAACTAATGTCTCAACAACCATTTTTACCAGTGCTCGTATAGCAATTTTTTGCTTTTATCATTTCATTTTTTTACCAGAGCTCATATTGCAATTTATGTTGTTATCATTGCTTTTCTCTGGCACTCCTTATTACTGGTTCCCATATTGTATTCATTTCTGTGCTCCTGAGTCGACCAAGCATAGAAATGAATACAATATTAATATAAATAGAGTATTTTTTCTCGCATACCCAGCAAGAAAGCTCTGATTTGTTGCCAAGTAAGATCAAGGTAAGCCAACATGTTCTGGGTACTTTCCGGAAGACTTTATGCATATTGTAATGTACGTGTGTGCGTGTGCGCGTGCGTGTGTGTGCGTGCGCGCGTGCGTGTTGAAGCGTCGTAAAGACTGACTGATTTGCTTTTTACAGATTATCAACCTATTGTAGGTTATTTAAAGCCAGCACATATTTTTGGATGTAAGATGTTTTTTTTGTGATAATAATGATTTTCTGATACAAGTCCAACTATTTAACTCATAGCTTGGGGGAAGCGGTGCATTCATACCTAACCTAAGGATATTTGCGCGTAATTTAACGAACCCGACCGGAATTGAAATTCGGCTCTCCGATTTCACATTCCGGGCCACCCAGAGATTCAAGCTAACAGTACCTGTTATTCCCAGCCAGTCTCCCATCTAGGTACTGGCCAGGTACGACGTTGTTTAACTTCTGTAATTGAACGAGAACTGGTATTTCAGCGTGATATGGCCGTAAGCCAAGCGTTGACAAGACGCCTACAAAGGAACATGATAAAGATAAATCAGCTTCTAATAAAAACAAACTTCGTCTCAAAAATTCAGAAAGAAAAGTTAGAGATTTGTCTTCTGTGCAAATCCATCTGACATATTTATAAGTCTACCATTCGTCCTTGCTTTGAATATCGCTGCCACATCTGGTCTGGTGCTTCTGCTATGTATTTAGAGATTCTTGATAAAATAAAAAGAAGTGTATGCAATATTACTGGTCCTGACCTGGCATATAACTTAGATTCCCTCTACCTTTTCTATAAATATTTTCATGGTAATTGTTCTGATGAACTTTCCCCTCTGGTACCTAGACTTTATGAATTTAAGTGTAGTGCTAGATTGGTGGTATGATTTGATCATTAATTTTTCACTACGTCCTGCTAGATAATTTTTCTCGCCGGAATGTCTCTTACATATTTATTTAACATATTTAGCTTCACTTATTTACCATATAAGTATTTATAGAATAGAATTCTATAAATACTTATATGGTAATTATTCTAATGAACTTCTCTCTATTTTGTTTAGTTTTTTTTGTATATAAATTGTATTCATTGTAAATATTCATTGGGGTTTAATTCTTAAATGTTATGTTTATTCTCCCAACACCATAGACAAATTGTACATATTGGAACTAATTAGGACTACATAGAGACTCTGAGGTATTATGGTGACTGTAGTAAGAATGGTAAGTAAGAATGTGTTGTTTTGGTGTGAGGAATACTGTGGTATATTTGGGTCAGTAACCGTGGCTAGCTAAGGCAGATTGGAGACCATCTTCCTTCTTTTAGCTTTGTGACATATTTTTTATTATTCAAAATATATATTACTTTTCTCTATGGTACCCAGACCTTATGAATGTAATCGTATTAGTAGATCGGCGGCAAACTCTCATCATTTGTCAGTTGAAATGGCTACATGTAACCGTAAGTTCTAGCCTAACAGTTTGTTTCTATTGTATTTCTGGCTTGTAGAAATCTCTTCCAGCTTGCTTCAGAGTGAACTTTGATCTTCAAAAAATTTAAATGCAATGTCAATCGTTATCTTCTATCTTCTTAATTCTTGTTCTTTTATTGTTCTTTCTCCTTAATAGTTGTTTTTTCTCATATTCTCTAACACTCAGTAACCCCCCCCCACACACACACACACCGCGTATCGTAATGAGTTTATTGCTTTGCTTTCGGTGAAATGCTTAAAAAATGATTTTACGTTTGCGCTCAACGATTAACAGAATCATTAACTTCTACGCTATTACACTTCGTTTCGTTTTTATATCAACCTTTCCACCAATAACTGTGCCATTGTTTTGCTGTCTAGAATTCTACCATTGCACCAGGAAATATGGCGTCGAATGCTCATCCGTTGCTTAAGTTTCTCAACTGTGACGTTTTCTCAAGGACACAGGCAGCAAATACTTATTTTGTACGCGAGTTGCATTAAGACGCATATGGTTTTGTTAGATATTAACAAGAACCCCCAAAGAAAACATAGTTTAATATCATAAAGATAATAGTTCCCTGTTGAGCATATCCTGAAACACACGTTTATTTCGAGTCGTGCAAATGAGCATGAGCACAGACACATACGCATGCGCGCACACACACACATATATATATAATTTTGAAAAAAGATGATTATTATGGTTAATCGACATAAATTGTCTGTCATTTTATATATATATATATATATATATATATATATATATATATATATATATATATATATATATGAACAACTTATAATAAATAAATATTGGTCTAATTTTGGTATTGAGCCCTCTTTTAAATTAATGTTATTAACGTTTGAATTTATATTCTTTTCGTTCTCACTACATAGGACTCAATACCAAAAGTAGAGCAATGGTTATTTATTATAAGTTGTTACATACGAACAAACAAGTAATCACTACAAAGATGCAAATTTGTTTCGATGCTTAAATCTAAGCATCTCATCAGGTGGTGAACAAAGATGGTTATAAACGATATTAGTTAAAAATGCTACTAATGAAGCATCACTATTTTTTATATTATTTAAAAATGTAAGAAGACATAAGAAGAATTTCCATAAAAGGAAAAGAAAGAAATATATGCAGGTTAAAGCAGAAAAAAGAAGAGAATAAGAAATCAATAAAAGGAAAAAGAGAGAAGAAAGAGAAATGTAAAAAGTTAGGAGAAAAACATTAAAAATATTATCTCTATATATATTATAAGTTGTTACATATGAACAAACAAATAATCACGACAAAGATGCAAATTTGTTTCGATGCTTAAACCTAAGCATCTCATCAGTTTTTTTCATTGGATGAATTGTTATCAATAACTTATATATATATATATATATATATATATATATATATATATATATATCCTTCTCAATAAGGAGGAAATCTTGTCAAGAATTGTCCAAAGTTTATTTCAGAAGAACAAATAAAAGTAATATGGTCCAAGCAGGATAGGTAGAGACAAAGTTGTAAAAGTTGTGAGTTTAATCAAATTTTAGAAATGGTGCCACGATGTAAAAGTATATTCAAAAATATAGACTCTCAATATCTATAAAATCATCTTTTTTTAAACGATATATATATATATATATATATATATATATATATATATATAGCCGTTCATGCGTTTCTCACGTATGGCACTTAACTGAGTGATCTTCACTGCGTGCTAAATACTTTAGGCCTTGTGCCACAGTAAATCACTGTATATTAGGTGCATTTACGCAGCAAGAATTCATTCAAAAACGTTTCTAAAATTCAACTCACAAGCTCTGTCTATTTATTATATTCGTCCAATTTCTGGATGAGATGTTGTCGTATAAAGTATTTCAATAAACTTCAATATACCATTTCCTGTGGAGAAATAGATTTTATTTAATGTTGGTTGCTTCTTTTTCATTATAATGGCTTCTAGAATTCTTGGCAGTGCGTCCTCTATAATATTTTTTTATTATCTAATAAAATTTGTATTCAGTTAATCATTGTGTTTTGTTTGTTTGTAATATGATGTTTGTAAAGTTACGACAAGTCACAAGTTAACTTTCAAGAGAGTATGATGCATGTATACCCAATGTGTTGTTTATTTTTTATAACTAGTATTAGATATACAATATATCAAAGGACATACGAATTCATGAACAAAACAAGAAAAAAGAAACACGAACTTTGGACAGTTTATTCATAATATCAAGCCAAATAAGCAACATCGCATTCGGATATTGGAAATATTTAATAAAATTTATGCAGACCTTTTCGGTCTAATTTAAACTAAATATATATATATATATATATATATATATATATATATATATATATATATATATATTATATGATTCCGTGGAACTCATCCGAATTTCCCTTTACCCATAGAACTATATATACGACGATTGCATATAGCATGAAACAGACTGTCGCCTCTAAGTGTTGACTTCTCTGTTCACTTTTATATTTACACACGCTCTATCTCTGATATCGAGCACTTTATCCCATAAATATAACACACCTTAAGACTATATTTCTTCATATATATATATATATGAAAAATTTCTCAGAGTTAACCTTTAGAATATATATATATATATATATATATATATATATATATATATATATATATATTTAAGCAAAAAACTGAAATTCTATCAGCTACGTATTAAAGGTAGAATACTGAAAACAGCTCTAAAATTCCAGAAGACTTCACAAATCGTACTGTACCTTGTCCTATATGTATAATGTTGTGTGGGCCATCTGGGGCACAAACACAAGTAGGACATCCATGAGGCAACCTGCTGTCGAAATCAAAGGGAGACTCCATCACACACACACACACACACACACACACACACACACACACACACACACACACACACACACACATACATACATGTATATATATAATTTATTATTTTTATTATAAGGCATTCTAAAATAATAATAATATATTGCTTTACTTTGTATTGAGCACTTTTTTAAAAGTAAATGCTACGAACACCGAAATTTTATTCCATCTGTTTCTTTCTTTCATTTGCGTAAGTGGATTTTAATTAATCGTAATTAAGTAATTGGTCGAGTCTAGAAGAAACCTCAACAGAATGCAGAAAGCACTGGAAGGCCGTTTCGTGCTATATTTGGAACTCATCAACAGTGCGCATCCACTACGGAGAATTGAAACACGAACAGTTACGATAGGAGGCAAACGCCATACCAACTGTACCAACGAGCCTCAGTGACGAAGAGGTAACGAATTAGACTCGATATAGCGCCGCTCGATCACATATTCCATGGTGGAACTCATCCGAGTTTCTCTTTACCCATAGGACTCCACGAGCTACGACTACTATTTCCAAACAGATAACTGAAATCTTTTGGATTGGTATTGCTTTTATGTCCATCGTCTTTTTCATGTTGAATTGTATATGGTCTATGTTAATTATGGTTTATGAATAAGTCCTGAAGATGGTCTGTTAGACCGAAACGTCCGACGTTGACATTAAGCATTAAAACAGCATAATCGCATATTAGAATTTTTGTTTGTTTTTTCAGTATATTTTTCTTCATACTGTCGGATCTATAATCATATATTTGCTTACACACACACACACACACACACACACACACACACATATATACACACACATATATATATATATATATGTATATATCTCCGTTTTAGCTCTCTTGAGAAAAGGGTAATTTTAAAAACAGTGGCTCCTACTGCTATTAATGCATTGCTCTTTACCTGAATTGATCTCTCCTGGCCACTGGCGTATCTTGTTTAGAAAACCTTAAAATTTCCCTAATAATCCGTTGGTATATAATCCAAGTGAATCCTATTAGTATAATATAAAATATTAAATAATGTAATCTTAATTCCTATTGTATGATATATATATATATATATATATATATATATATATATATATATATATATATATATATATATATGAATGATAGGATAGAATATAGAACAA